GTTAGACACATACGTCAAATTAAATTAACCTATAAATTTGGGATTAACTTTATTAAGATTAATTTATATATTTCAGATTAATCTACATAAAACTTGTTTATTTAATTAATTTAATTGATAAAATTCAGACTAAAATTAATCTAAATACGCCATGTTAAATTTTATTCGTTAACGACAATGTAAGTTCAATTTCGTTTTAGCTATATTCTTAGTACTTTAATTTAGATGTAGGGGTAGACTGATGTAGGTTAAATCTATCGATGAGTTATTCAGTTCAGTGTGAGTTGGTTAGTGAGGGTCTTGGGCTTATTTGTTGAAGATTTAATTAGGCAGTGAGTTAGTTAGACAATGTGTTTTTATCGATAAGCGAGAAAATTCTTCAAAGATGTTTATAAGAAAGTTAGGCTTACAATAGTTTCGGAGTTTCTGTTGTTTGTGAAGTTAGGCTTACCATAGCCTGTAAAAGAAATAATTAATTATTTATCAGTAGGTGGATTAGATTTGGCACTATTTTTACAAAATAATCCAAAATAACACACCCAAAGAATGAACACTATTACAACGATAGATACATCAAATTATGTTTAATCTACATACGATAGGTTAAGATTAATTTACATACGCCCTATAAAAGTAAAGATTAAGGTTAATCCGTAAACTAGATCTGGGGTTATTAATTTACGTGTAGTTTTTCGTTTCAGCACGTTGAATCTTAGCCCACCTGGAACACCATTCATTGCTCTAGCCTTTGCTGTTAGAATCGTGGAAGCTTTCGGATCGGCGTCTATTTTTACTGTTGGTTACAGTATTGTTGGAAACGAATTTAATGATCGCCGAGCAACGGCTTTGGTGTGTAGTATTGTTGATACATCTTAACCCTAAGTTCCATATTTCGTGCTGTACAATATGTTATGTTAACCGAGTAACAGTTTTGGTGTGTAATATTGTTAATATATTTTAGCCCTAAGTTTCTACATTTAACGTTTCCTACAATATTCGTTATATTAGTCGAGAAACAGTTCTGATGTGTGATATTTTCGATATTCGTTCTTAAAGAGTAGCCCAAGAGTTGGCGGTATTGACTAGCTGCCTCCCCTCTAGTGTATCTCTTCAAAATTGGGGACAGCTAGTGCTTGGCCATAATTTTACTCTCTTCTGTTATTATCTGTCTGCTGTTTCCGCTCGTCTCACACTATTTACCTTTATCACTTAATCGTCTGCCCGCTTTCTATATTCTCGACGTCAATGTATTGCACGCGATGTTCGATAGTCTCAAAACCAACGACTGATAGACGTGTAAAATATGAAACACGTACCGATCTTAACTTAACCCAATGTTTTCCCAAGTTGAAATAGTTGCACCCTCCTAATTCATCAATTTTCTGCTGCACCCCCACTTCACATTAAATTAATAATTTCCACAAGTCATAACAGCAAAATCAAAATTTTCTTTACCTTTTTTAAATGTGAGAATAAAAAAATCAGAGTTTTGATGCAAAGTGATAGTTTTGTTAGGTTATCGTCGTCTCCAACTATTCTGTTTCTTCCATCGTTATTTTTGGGCTCTCCCGCCAAATGACTGCCCCCCACACATACCAGGGGGCGCGGCCGACAGTTTGGAAAATCGTTGACTTAATCGATTCTTAACAGAAGTCAATACTTGACTATTTCCCGTCATACCATGCGAATGTTATTATAAAACAAACAGTCGTATAATAGCAGACATAATCCCGTATAAGGCTTTGTCAATATCTATAAACCAATACTGAACAATAAGCCTCTACAGATGATTTTCTGTTGAACAAGAGCCCTTTCAGCATCTTCCAAACATTCTGACTAGTTGGTCTCTTATCCATTAAGTTTGCTACAAAGTATGTTATATGACTACTGTTCGTTACTTTGTTACACATTATGTTAATATCGATTTGATAAAAAATAGTCTACAATATTAATGACATAAAATTTTTATAGGCCACCTTGGATATGTCCTTTGGTGTTGGAATAATAATTGGACCATCAATCGGAGGAGTGCTTTATCAGGTATTTTAATGGTTACATGTTGGTAACTTGTACTGTACAAGGTATATTAGTGGTTACATCTGGGTGGCTTGTACTGTACACAGTATATTAGTGGTTACATCTGGGTGG